CACAAACTGTGGGCTAAATAAACTTTTCCATCCTTAATTTTGGGTGTTGGATATTTTGTCTCAACAAGAGAAAACTATGCAAAACACCCTCTTTTTTGATGATTCTTTTATACCACTTTTTGTTCTTATCTCTCATTCTTGGCTTATTTTTTTTAAAAAAATTCATTTTCTTCCTTTCTATAAAGTTACACATTGTATTCTTACTTGTGTTAGAATTAATTAGCATATTAATTTCTTTTTGCATGTTAAATTCTCAACCTAAAGTTAATTAAGATCTTAACCCTCCTCCAAAAAAAGAAAAGATAAATACTTTTTAAAACTTTAATTTTCAGCATAACAATTTATTTGTTATGGTTGCATATTTTAATTCCATCTTTTTAAAAAAAAATCAAAGTGAGATCATCTATTACTGTCAATGTTGACTTAGCCATGCCAATATATTCACATTTGCTTTGCATATCATTCCTTCTTTTATTAAAAGATTTTCATCTGGTATCACTTTTCTTTAATCTTTCAAAGTCTCTTTCATAAAACTTTTTTCCTTGCTCTCTTCTTATTTCATCTATGTTTTGCCCTTGTTCTTAGGATTTTAACTGGGTATATACTTCTTGGTTGACTCATTTTTGTGTCACTATCTATATAGAAGATATTATTCCTCTGATTCCTGGCTTTCCATGTTACCATTGAAAAGTGAGTTACCAATCTAATTATCAACCCTTTTTTCTCTGACTGCTTTTGTGATCTTTGTCTTTGGTTTTCTACAGTTTTATTGTGGTGTGCAGATTTTATCTAAGTTATCATTCCTAGGTTTCACTGAGATTTGAGTCTGTGAATTGGTGTCTTCTGTTCTGAAAAGTTTTTCTCTCCTTAATTTTTTAAAACTTAGGCACATATTACACTTTTTACTCTATCTTCATATGCCTTTACTACTCTTTCAGTTACTCTGTTATGCCCTTTATACATATTCTATATAATTTTTCAGATTTGTCTTTAGTTCTCCAATTCTTATTGCTTGATCTATAGTTATTACATACTTCGTTTCTGAATATATATATATATATATATATATATATAGTATGTGTGTGTGTATGTGTGTATATATATATATATATATATATATATATATATACACACACACTTTTTTTTAAGTTTGGAGATTTTTTTTTGTGACCCCCTTTTTTAAATAGAAATGTCAGTCCTTTTTCTTTTAACATATTAAATATGTTTTCACATGCTGTCTGATAACTTAAGAATTTGAGATCTTTGCAGCTCTGATTCTGCTTTCATTTCTTTGGTTTTCAAGAATTGTCATTTTCTAGTGTGATTCAGATTTTTAAAATATGAACTCATTGTATCAAAGTAGAAGTTCTTACATGGGATTTCCTTAAACCATATTTGGAGGTAGCTACCATCAGAAAGGATTTCTATTTGTTTGTGCCAGATACTAAGGGGTATTGTTTATCAACCAGTTAGTGTGAATCTGGATTACAAATTGTCGTGTGTACTACCTTGTTATCATAGATTCTCAGTAGAGTTTCTCTCCTAACTTCCAGTGCCACACTTCAAGAAAAGTAGTTTTCCTGTCAGTTCCATAGAGATTGATTTTGTTTCTAAATCACCCATATTTGGCAATGTAATTCTGTAGTTCCACCTTTATGTGGGGCCAGGAGAGCTCTGGGCTCTTTACCCTTGGTCCTTGTGTCCCTGTGATGCCCTTAATACAAAATGTGCAGTTCAAAAACTCTCAAAGTAAAAGCCACCTTTGGTGCTCTGCTTAACTATTCTGGGCTTTCACTCAGTCTTTTGCCTCCAATATTTTTAAATAACTTGCCATTTCATAGATATATTTTTTAAAATATGTATCATATTTTATATTTTAAGATGTTTTTGTTTGGGGATATTAATGATAAATACCATAGGACTGATGTTTCATTTCACCATCAGGAATAACCATTAGAACGATATAATCCTAAAAATCTACCTTAAAATGACATTTGCAATACCAAAAGGAAATATTTTAGAATAATATGCTAGAGTTGTACATTCTTTATTGCTAAAAAATTGAATTGTAAGTTTAACTTCTTGAGGGTTTATATCTCAGCATTTTCATCATTCAACTTACTAGTAGCCACAGTAGTAAATTTCCAGCTGCCAAATAATACCAACATTGTCTCAAATATAAGCTCAGTTATTAGCAAAATTTTTTAAATTTTAGTCTTTAGTCTTCAACTCTTTACTTTTGAGTCTTTATTAGGTTCAAACATTAATAGGAAAATTGGTCTTCTTTCTAGGATAACTAAATTGATATTCAATGTAACTTTTTTCCTGATTTATCGCAATTATTATTCTATAACTGAAGCAAATATAAATTAATTAGAGAGTAATTAACCTAGTGTAAAAGGAGATGAACTAAGAGAGAGACTAGTAAGCTCCTCATTTGCTGTGAGCAATAGGGTGTCATTAAGGTCTCTTCCCTAGAGCTTCATGGGAAACTTCTCATTGAACAATGCTTTTGAGAAAGGCTCCCTGAATTAGAGGGCTTTTTACAGAACACAAGTAGGTCTCTGATTTTGGATATAGTACCATGTAAGGTACGATGACTTTATGTTACTGGGGAGCTACCAGGATATGACAGCTTTATCTTGTTTGTTCCCACTTGAGACCTGTCCTGAAATAATGGACCAGGCTCCAAATGGTCAGAATAAAACTAAAAACCAGTAGCATATTGGCTAGGATGCTTTAAGCTACAATCAGTAGAAAATGTCAACTTTCTTTGGCTTAACCAGTGATGAAATGTATTGCCTCGCAAGAAAAATAACAAAACTTGGGGCAGGCTCTACATGTGCAATATTGCCTTTGGTTTTCTAGTTTTAGCTCTGTCCTCTGCCCTTTAAAACCTTGACTGCCACACTGGTAGCAAGATGACCTCCATATTTCCAGGCATCTCATCCATATATCCAAAACCCCAAAATAGAAAAGGGACCATCTCTCTTGCTTTCTCTTAGGAACCAGAAAACCTTTTCCAAAACTTGTTTCTTCCTGCCCCTAATTTCATATACCTACCCCCAAAGACTTGCACAAGAACTGTGAATATGGATAAAAAATGATTCATACCCTTGGATCATCTAAGGTTTGCTTAGATGAAGATCTTAGAATGCTCTCTGTCTGTTCTCACAGTGTGTTCCTGGGGGAAATCTGGTAGTGACTTGGAGACTCCTTATGCTTTCTGTATATTTTTGCTGATAAAATTAGCATCTAAGCATTTAACAACAAGCTAAAAATACTGTCTATTTTATAGAAGTTCAGGTCTCCCAGATCTAAGACTAGATCTTAGTTCTTTAAGGTATGAATTTTTAATGTATTTTTCTATCGTAGTATAGATATCCTAAAAAAGTATAAACATCTAAGAATTATGTTGTTTGATAAAAGCAGATATCTAATTCTTCTAGTGTAAGTTATCAGAATTCACTGCCTTTATAAAGTTATCTTCAATTGCTTTAATTTCTATAGTCATTTATGCTGTATAGGGAAATGATTTTTTTTACATAGAAATATATTTCCATGCTGACAGAATTTTTTCTACACTAGCATCATCTTATGAAATGAGATATTTTAAAATATAATTAAATTTTACCCCTATAACTTTGAAGATTAAAAAAACCCAGTTCTGTCTTCTGAATCCATGAATATTTCCATTACTTGCTTTACAGTTTTCTTACTGAAGCTGAGCAACATTCACTATTTATTTATCAAGTTGAATGAGATAAATTGTAGGGGAAGAAAGCTAGTTAATGTGGAACTAGCATGTAACAAGGTTCAATAAATTCAGTTCCTTTTGTTAAACACATTCCTGCTTTTAGAAATTTACTACCAGTTGTTTGGAGAGGTATTAATATAGAGATAGATTAGTTAAAAACTAAGTGAATTACACAAGTGTATAAATAAAGTGCCTTTTTCTGTGCAGAGGAAAAAGTTGTACATTTGAAAAAGTATGAGAGAAGGTAATTAGGTGAAATTCTACCACATGTGTTTATCTGTGATAGATTCCTGCCAGATCTGCCCAAAGATTTGCTGACCCCTTCAGTTTTGTGTCCTGGTTTGCTGTTCCTTTCTTTCCATTGTAGCCGTTACCTTCTTTTGTTTTTATCATTATTGTTATTTTTTATGCTTTTAAAGGCTATATCATTTTAGTTGCTTCTGCACTCACTCTTGTGAGTTCGATTCCTGGTACCGATAAAAAGAAAAAAAGAAAAAAAATCTCTTTCATCTTTGGTGGAAACACCTGACTTCTCTATTGCTTTTTATTTTTCTCCTCTTAATTTGAGGCAATCCCCCAGCAGCCCATATCCAAGAAATAGGTACCTCATTAAAAGACTAGTTAAATGTTGGGAAAACTAGCAGGGATTGTTAGATGAGAAAATTGTGTTGATAATTGGTGAGGACTAGACAAAGGACTCCCTCCCTGTGTGGATCAAGCTCTGAGCCATAAAGATAGCCTTTGTAAAGGAGGCATGTAACTCACTGTAAGAGGGAACTATTTGCTTCTGCAAGGAATTACTGTGGGTCCATATTCTAAAGCATGAGTCACGGATGTTTTTATGATTACACATCCCTCTTAGCACATGAGGAATAAACTTTAAAGAAAAGGAAGTTAAGAGAAAACAGAAGTGTGAATAACTGCTAATGGTACTCTCTCTGGCTCCATTCCGTCTGCCATTTCATCATACATCAAGAGGGAAGGTCAGAGATCTTTTTCCTGGCAAATAAGTGGCAACATATGTTTGAAATAGTGAATGGAAACTATAGGAGGAAGATGACAGACATATGGCACTAACAAGGCAAAGGAAAATTTGTTGCCTTAATGTTAGCCACTTAATTGGTATGATCTTCCATGGAGGGACTGTTTTACTTTAGAAATTCTGTATGCCCCATTAGTACAGCGTTTCTGTTTATTTATATATATATATATATATATATATATATATATATATTTTTTTTTTTTTTTTTTTTAGTTCTGCTTGTTTGTCTTCATGAATGACAATTGCTTAAAACTCTTGAGACACCATACAGATAGAAACTTGTCAAGAAATAAGATCCTTTGTTCAAGTTGTGAAAGCCAAAAGGAGAACTCTTAAACAATCACTTTGATGAGCTGAGAGTGGAGGAATAGCTACCAAATACTCTCTTCAAGACTGCTTTTTATTTAATAGTTCTGCATAATTCTAATTTATGATTCATTTGTTGATGTAGCAATTAAGCCCTTGCTCTGTTGTGCTCAAGATTCACAGGGTACTTAGGAACAAGGGTTTAATATTTTTGCTCTGCAGTACACTTATAATCAGTGTTTACTTTATAACAAATTGAAAGCACAGTGAGGTACTTTAAAAAGAATAATTTTCTGAATAAAAAAATCAGTATATACAAAAGGGAGTTGAATCCCATATCTAATTATCTGTTATACATGGTTAATAAATAGGAAATCTGTTTTTTAAGTGTCAAAATTTAATTATGGCCTATTATTATATTGGCGAAAAGAGATAGTACATGATTTAACTTCTCAGAACAAATTATGTTTTGCTTTGTGTAAAAATTATATATATATGTATATGTCAATAGTGTTTAAACAAATGTCAGATGCTATAGATTACAAGTGCTGTGTAATTGCTGTGCTCCATCTCCTTCTCTTTTATGATCTTCATAAGTGGTGTGATTCTTTTTTTAATGTTTAGTCTCTTGCTTTAAAAATAAATATTTTACTTGTAGCCATAAATTTTTGTTTACATTTACCTGTATGAGGCATGTCAAGTCTCTTCTGTCAGGAAGCATAACTTTAGCCATGTCACTGTCAGTTTGGGGGAATGCAGGAGAAAGTGCCTCATTAAGTAGTGTAGGCTGCCCTTGAACTTATTCCATAACCCAGACTGGCTTCAAACTGAAGATCCTCTTGCCTTAGCCTTCCAAGTGCTTGGATTACAAGCATGTGCCACCACTCTCAGCTTTAGTCTACTGCCAAATATGGGCTACAAGCTAAAAATAGTTTTTACATTTTGGACGGAAAAAAATCAAAAGATTATTTCATGTATATAAACATTATATGAAATACAAATTTTAGAATCCAGACATAAAATTTTATTGGAATAGTCATACCCATTTATTTACACATTATTTGTGATTGCTTTCCTGTTACAGCAACAGAGTTGAATAGCTACAATAAAGAGTATCTGGCTCATACAAACTAAAATATTTACTAACTGACCCTTTAAAGAAAAGAAAAATTGCCTTTTCAGATCATAAGTATCCTGTATTGTGTAAGCATTGGTATTATTGCCAAGAAAATGTGATGCATGTTGGTGGAATTCTGAGGTGATATGTTTTTGAGGGGAAATCTGGAATACTAAAAATAGAAAACCAAAGTTGTGTTTCTGAGATTAATGGGAAACAGTATGATTCTGAACTGATTACTTTAGTTTTCCATTTCCTGTCAGATCATTTTCTTTCTTTCCAGTACTAGGAATTGAACTCAGGACCTCACACTTTCCAGGCAGATGCTTACACCATTGTGCTAAATCCCTGGCCCTGTCACTTTGTTTTATTTAATTTTGCCCAGAAAGATATGTGTAGGATGAGTGATATGTCTTTTAGGGAGATCATTTGTAAGATATCCCCACGATGTGTCAAACTTAAGCAAGCAACCATGTCCAGTACTTTGCTTTTTGTTTTTTAAATTTCTTTAGTTGTCAAAATATATTTCTATATGTCCTTACCTAAATTATATTCAAATCAAGAAGCCAAATCACACTTTTCCACAAGCCAAGCCAGTCAGTGTACGGGGTGGAGACCAGAGGAGCAGCACTACTCTCTCCATCAACAGTGGGCTAATTGGAGGCAAGTTGGGCTGAGGTGATAGCAACTGAAGTAAACAAAAATAACAATGCTTGTATTGTTTGATTGACTTTGCAGGCCTAAAGCTGATAGTCTGAGCATCTATTTGGAGGATAACAATATGCATTATAACAACTATAAGGGACTTCCTTCTGTCTTGTTTTTGAAATCTAATATTTTGCTGTTTTGTTTTATTTTTGTGTCTGGTAACCTGAGCAACTGTTTTGGAGATAACAGTATGTAATAAAACAACCATAGGAATTGTTAAATTTCTTATCATCTTGCTTTGAAAACCTATATAGCTATTGTTCTTTGTTGTTGTCTTGCTTTTGTTGCTGTTGTTTTTTTTTTTTGATTTGTTTTCTTGTTGTTTTTGTTATTTTTTCCTCTTTAAAATAAAAGTGTATTAAATAAATAATACTCAAAATGGAAAGAAACATTCAAAAGAAGGCTTTGTTTAAATTTAGTAGCTTGAGAGTGACACCTTTTATTGCATATTTTGAAACATTTTAAAAGTTCTTAGCAAAAAGATGCATTTCTGTATTGCAGGTAAATTATTTTTAGAAGCATGTTCTATTTCAGTAGATACGTGGAATGAAAGATTTTTCAAATGTATTATACTACATAAAATGAAACAATGTTAGGGGGACTACCTGATTCTTTATGTCCAGTCTTATTCTCTTCTTCTCTAAATAAAAACTTCTGATCAGCTAAATAAAATTTTTCTTTTGCAATGACAGATTTCTATCCAGATTTTTTTTTTTTAGATAATCTTGTAATCCATCTGGTCTTTTGAAATACACAATTACACATTGAAATGTATCTATGTTTTCCACATCATCTGAACAGTTTTCTATTGCTTATTTTTTTTCAATGTGTGTGAACTGTGAGTCAAAAATACCAGAAGCAAGTACAATTAAGTAAGATATGTTCCATGACCACTGAGTCTAATGTTCTCATAGACGTTTAGGTACATCTCAAAGTACTTTTGTTAAATAATTATTAGTATAAGTCAGACTTCTGCTATTTCACATCACCTGAGAAAATCTGAACATGCGTACTGAAAGAAGGTAGTCACTCTTGGTTTCGGATCTTACAGAGCTCTATAGTGAATGTACTTTGATATATTAAATACGGATTTTTATGTGTGCATTTTTAGAGGTTTAAACTGAGAACTCGTTACTTTTCATCCAAAAATATCTTTTAAAAGAAAGTAATTTCTGATGTTGATCTTTATTTTGTGTCCTATAAAGAATCTCTCAATTTTATTTCAAACAGAGTATCTGTTTATACTTTTCAAAAGCAGATTTCTGGTTTCAAAACCAAGCTAAAATACATTGTGGGTGTTTTGATCATTTCTTATGATGATGCATCCTTTTAGCCATAATGAGTACCACTAATACACTAGAATTAAAAGTGGAAATCACATCTTTTAGATTATCTTGGAAATGTTCCACCTAATTCTTTTTAAAAAGTTTTCCAAGAATTGTACTGATTGTATAATAATAACTTTCTGTGGATTTTAGTGTTTTGTGAATATGTATGGTAGTTGTGATTACTGTTGCTGCTTTTTCTTAACAGTTTCATAACCCCTTCTTAAACAATTTTGAGACAAAGTATGTGGACTCAAACATAATGTATATTCTTCCTGAAACTGTTAGTGATGGACTTCTTGGACTCCTACCTGCTTCTTGGTTGAAAGTCCCCCATAGTCCCCCATCGGAGCATCTTTCTTTAGTGCATGTTAACTCCCACGGTGATGACCCAGAGTCCCTTGATTTGCATCTCAAGTTTGCTATGTACCAGTTGTACGATCTCTGTGCCTCTATTTCCTCATCTATAAACTGGAAATGCTGAGAGTGCCTTCTTTATAGAATTGTTGTGTTTATCAAATTATAGGCTTTATTTTCTTAGAATACAGTTTAGTACTATATTCAGTTTGTCAGCTCTTAATACATTCCTAAATGCTGTCTGTAATGTTCTTGTTTAATGGATCTGTGAAACCTTATATTCTAAAGTCAGAACCAACTTGTCAGAATTTTAGGAAGAAATAAAGAGGTACATTAAAGCATTCTGAGAAGCTATTTAACCTGTCTAGAATGATGTTTCATACATAGGAGATATTCAATAATTACAATAAGTATATAAAAATTTTACATATTCAGTGATGATGTCATTCTTAAAATTCATGATGACTAAATTCTGGAAATCAAAACCATTTGATTTCAGTTTGAGACAGTACATTAACTCTTTGCATTAATATATGGATAAAATATGAATAATGAATAGCACATACCTGGTCTTATGGTATGTAAAGCACTATTCTCAATTTATATTGCTATTAACTAATTCTTTTTAATTTTTATACTATTAATTCATTGATGAAGCAATTAAGTGTCTAGGCAGTCATAAATAATGAGGATTCAAACCCAGGAAGTTTGGCTCCAGAATCCTTGTTTTTAATCCTATGTAACAAATAAGCCATAATTCCTAAAAGTTATTCAGTACAACCTTTTTTCCCCACACTTAATATTCACCGCAATTTCCATGAAGTATTGAATGTGCTGATTTTTGCCTAACTCTGCCTCCTTTTGCTCTTCCAAGCAAGTCTAAAGCACCAGTACTGAAAATGTGCAGCTAATTGGAATTGCCCAGAGAGCTTTTATTACTACTGATGCTTTTAAATCTCAGAAATTCTGACTCCATCTCTGCGGTCTGAGAAGTCCAGATTTTTAAAAGCTCCTTTGATGATTCTAATATGTAGCAAAGTTTTAGGACCACTAGTCTAAGGGAAAAATGAAATTGGCCAACAAACCCTAGGCGAGACTGAGTGTGCCTGAAGGAGTAGGGTGTGGAGGTAGTATGGTCTACACCCCAGACCATCCAAGGGTTGAAACTCAGGCCAATCTGCTTTTGTTCTTTTTTTGTTTGTTTGTTTTTTGTCATTCTGAGACAGAGTCTAGTTATGCACTTCAGACTGGCCATCGTGCTCATTTGTAGCGCAGGCTGGTGTAGAGCTTGCAGTGATCCTCCAGGCTCCTCTAAAGTGCTGGGATTATAGGCATGCACCACCACACACAGCTTGCTTTGGTTCTTGTTGACCATTATGAAAACAAGCAGAGAATGCTAGGTGGAATACTATGTGAAGGTGCTGTTTGAAAAACAAAATGGCTAAATAATGCTTTCATTTAGGGATACCATCTTAATGCTCCAATCAGAAGAGCAGCCTGGTTTTACTAAACTGTTTGGAAAAACTGATATTTGTTTCAAATGTTTATGGCTTATTGTCTCAGAAGATTAACACCAAATCCTCAAAAATGTAGTGACGAGCAATGACTCATTTTAGCTCATGTCAAAACAATGCACTTTTGTAATTTTCCTGTCCTTAGAGAAGCCATTAAACACTAAACAAATGCCTCAAAATGAAACCAATTGAGTGTTTTAAATTATGTACTCATGTTTGGCTATTAGCCAGATGTTGGTCAGAAAAGCTTTACCATACATCAAGACCCATGATTTGTGCTGACAGTGATACTACAATTTATGCTGCTTAAATATAAGCAATGTGTATTCTAAAGCTTAGTAGTCAAACAGAGCTTATAACATAAACAATTTGTGTAACTAGGTTCTCAGCCAAGTGATTTTTCCCTTTGTTAAATCTGGAGAGGATGTACCTAAGGGATAAGGTATTTTTCTCTGCATTATCTTGTTGATAAATAGCACAGATTCCAACAAGCTTAACAGTCTTACACAGGGTTTTTGTATTTGTTTTTGTATAAGTAGTGCTACATGTCTTGATCATAGCAAAGCTCAGTATAATGTTCTACATGTAGTAGGCACAAAAAGTATATGTTGATCATAATAATGATGTCAACAAATAAAGAACAATGTGGCTTTTTCATTAATTTCCTATTATCTGTCTGCCAGTATTAAATGAAGTTTTATAAGAACTATCCTGCAGATGAGGATTTAGCTCAGCAGCAAAAGTGCCTGCCTGGCGAGCGCAAGGTTGTGAGTTCGATCCCCAGCACCAAAAAAAAAAAAAAAAAAAAAATCATTCTGCCAACTGCATTTTATTTTTCAGCAAAAAAGTAATTAAGTGATTTGATTGTCCTTACTGGTTTCCTAAATAATGGCTACATTTATGATATTAGACTTTTATAAAAAACACTTATTATAATTGACTCATAATATCAATATATTTTTTATACCATACAGGTGTGTGTGTGTGTGTGAGTGTGTGTGTGTGTGTGTGTGTGTGTATGGGGTTTGACAACCAGAAGTCTAGGTTCAACTGTGACTAACTCATGGCCCACCTTTTTTTTTTTTTTTTTTTTTGTCCCCTTTTTGTGAGTGAAGAGTAATTACCGTGGGCCACATATAAAATACACAATATAGAATTGGGAGGCCACAGTCTGGCTACAGCTAGACACATCCAGGACCTAGAAAAGAGTAGGTATTCCATAGATATTTGTTTAACTGAATTGAGCAAATGTTCTACTGATACTCATTTTCTTTTTTCCTCTCCCTCCCTCTCTCCCTTGTTTCTTCCTTCCTCCCTTCCTGTCTTCCTGCCTTCCTGCCTTCCTGTCTTCCTCCTTTCCTTCTCCTTTCTTTTGAAATGAGAATCAATCTCAGATGCAGTTCCGTAAGTGAACATAGAGTAGGTAAAGAAAATGCTTTGGGTAATTCCATCGCATATTGATGTGCTGTCATTCCTAAAGAAGTTATTCTAATCCATCAATAATTATTATCTAGTTGTCAGCCCATTCTAAGATGAAAAATAGTGTGGTGGCTAGTAATTCAAACTATATCTAAAACTGTCATTTTGATCCAATGACTAAATCTTAAATATTACAATAATTTGTTATCTGTAGACACTGGATAGCTAAGAAGGTTAACAAAGTGCTTGTCAGGAAGAGCTTCACACTAAATCACTAGCTTGTTCTTTTTGTGATAAAAAATGGGTAGTGTCCACATGTTATATTTTTTACTATTCTAATTACCTGTCCTGAAAAAGGATTCATGGAATTTGGAAGGTTTCACATTAGGGCAAACAGACCAGGATTGATGTGACATCTGTGTGAAGATATCTAAGATTTACACTGTAAATTGGAAAGATAAAAGTGGATAGTGAATTTGATTAAAATCTATAAAATCATAAGCATTATGGCAGGGCAAACACATTCATGCTTACCCAAACTTAAGACTGCTAGAATCAGAAGCCTGAAAGAAGTACTTTGTCAAAGAGCAGTATCACCTCATGATGAAGGATACAAGCAAATAGTTATACAGCTGAGTTCAGTTCCCTATTCTGCCCATTTGAAGTTCTATGTCACAGTTTCTTTAAACTGTATGTGACAGTTTCTTTAAACATATAGTAAACACCGTGTGTATGTGTACATATGTATACACATGAGATTAGGTACATGTACACATATTAAGTATACTGACTGGGTGTGCTAAAAACTAGGTTTAGAAGAAATTTGATTTACAGTTGAATTCAAAGTTTGCTTATGTCTTCCATTCTCTTTGCATCCACCGTGAGAGATGAGGCCCTGGATTGGTTGGGTCAGTGACCCCAACAAAGAGTGTTTCTGTTTTAAGATATTTTGCACAAAAAACAACTAATCTCTTTTCTTTTATTCCCCAAGCTAAAATAATGATAAAATCATCATCCCTGTTCCCTCATTTACTTACAATAATTTGTCCTAAATGAAAAACACTTCATTTGGTAATAGAAAAGTATGACTTCAAGTAATAGAAACAAGTCCAAGCTAATTGAGTTAAGCAAGATTGTTGGCCAGGGAAAGTAACTGTTGAGATAGGCATCTTGTTTTTCCAAACAAATACTCCTCCTTTAGAATCTGATTGGGCCTTAATCTGCTTACCATTTTTTCAGCTGCCCAGCTTTCAGAAAAGCACTTTACCTTGCTGGCAACAGTGAGTGTGGTGAATGTTTTTGTTATTGTTGTTCTTAATGATAAGTGTGTAGTTTTTATTCTCATTGTAAACAAAGGTCTGAAGGGCAACGGACCAAACTATTTCACCATAAGAATGTGCTTGTTTTGTTATGTCCATCATTTCTCAGTATTTTTGTTCCTGATCTTAGGATAGATCTTTCAGTAGGGAAACAACAATAGTGCTTTCCAATCAAGTATTTATAATTACTATAAGTAGTACAGATGGCCTGGTAAAATTTGTGTAATTCTATCACATGTTGATGTGCTGACATTCCTAAAGAAGTTTTTCTAAAGCACCAGTTATCATTATCTAGTTGTCAGCCCATTCTAAGAGGAAAATAGTGTGGTGGCTAGTAATTCAAACTATATCTAAAACTATCATTTTGATCCAGTGACTAAGTCTTAAGTATTACAATGATTTGTTATCTGTAGATACTGGATAGCTAAGTTGAATTCTATCAAGACAGTGTTTTTAGCACTGGAATTTTTTTGTTAGTAGTATGTGCTTCCAGTACATAATGATTACGTTTATCATGGGGAGTGATACATATATATAACACATCGGAGTTTTTAAAATTATTTTTGGTCCCCTTCCTCTCTGGTACCTCTCTGTCCCCTCCAAGTCTTGGTCTCCTTCCTGTCTATAAAAGCTGTTTCCAATTTTTTCTTCAGTTCCTTTTTACTCTATCCCCATTCCTTCCTCTCCCTCCTCCTCCTCTCTATATCCCCTTTCCCATTTGAAAAACATCTTCCTACTTCCACTTCCTATAATCTATTATTTTGCTCTTTATTTAAATTTTGGATTTCTCATATAAGGAAAATCAGTATTTAAATTTGGGCATCTGATTTATTTCACTTACTATTGTGGTCACAAAGTTCATTCATTTACCTGTGAATGCCTTAAGTTATTGCTTTGTTGTTGTGTTTGTTTGTTTGTTTGTTTGACACAGGGTCTTGCTCATGCTGGCCTCGAACTCATAGCAATCCTCTTTCCTCAGCACCCCCTCTTCCGTGTAACAGCTGTGTGCCACCATGTCCAGCAAGTTTGTCATTCTTTATGACATAGTCTTCCATTGGGTACAAATATATTTTCTTTACCCATTTATCTGTTGATGTACATATGAACTGTTTCCAAGATTTAGCTATTATAAATTGTAACATTGGCATTGAGATCACAGAGCCTTTTAAACATTGATTTTTGTTAGTTTGATATCTTACTATCAAACCTAGCAAACCTTAAAGTTTCCTTTTCTTTTGTATTTCTAAATTTTTCTTTATGACTGTCTCTTCTCAATTAACCTTAGATTCCTGCCTATTTTACCTCCCCATCACTGCATCAACTAACTCCTCATTGCCTCCATGCCCACTTATTTTCTGCAGGAGTCAGCTCAATTTTCATTTCTTGTTCTATCATCTTTAGTCCTAGTTGGCTCTGTTTTCTGTTTTTACCATGTCTACAGCTTTTTATTTCTTTCCCAACCCCTGGCAAACTTTTTGAAAGGGTATTACCACATTTACGGGCCTACCTCTTGATTACCTTCTTTGGGTTAAAGTCTGGTGTCATTGCCTACCATCCTGATGAAATTGTTCGCTCAGAGGTACATAATGGTGACTTCATCATCATATCCAATAGGCTTCACTCTGGTTTTATCCTCTTCTTTTTTATATATGTACCTTTTAACATAATTGACTGTCTGTGCATTCCTTGAAACATTTTTCCTTCTAAAAAAATAGCCTCTCCAAAGTCTCTTCCTAGAGTCTAAATTGTGTCTCTTCTACCTTCTTTCATAGCTTATTCCCCACTTCCTGCCCTAAAATATAGGTAATGAACATGTGGACACAGAAAGGTTAAGTGAAATTATGGTTGATATCTAGATGTCTCCTGAGGGCCTCATGTGCTCACTGGTGGGACTTTTGGAAGGTTAATTGATTTATGGTAACTTAGAGATGACTCGCCTTTAGAAGTGGGGTCTGGTCAGAAGAGAGGGGTCACTGGGGAAGTGACCTCTAAAGGTTTGTCTTCTTTTCCAGCTTCTCCCTTCATTTTCTGCTTTCTGCTCACCGGCATGAGATACTTTTCCTGTACTGTGCCCATCTGCCATGCTGCTGTGCCTTGGAGCCAGCAGACTATAGACCTAATCCTCTACAAACTATGAGCCAAAATAAATACCTCTTTTAAGTTGTGAGTGTAAGGTATTGTAACTCAGAGACAAGAAAGTGACTAAGACAAGTGGTTTGCTAGGTTGTAGCTAGAGTTATCCTCAAAACATCAGTTGTCTCTTTCTTCCTGGTTATACAGCTTCCCAACCAGATAGTTCTAGCTTTTCCTGAACTGAGGTGTAACTATGGGAGTTAGTTAGATCAATGAAATATGCGTAGAAGAAATAGATAAGCATGTCCAATTTGGAAGCAAGGTATCTTTCAGACACTTTTCCCTAACCCTATCCCCAAGCCCATGCACTGTAACAAGAGATAACATAGGGTTTCTGCACTGATCTTTACAAATGAAGACAACTCTGATCTTATGATGAGCTCTGTTAAGTTTATTTAAATTTGCTTAAGTATTTTTGGATCATCTGTAACTTCTTGAAATAATTAGAATGTATGTAAGTCTAAATAAGTCATTCTGGGGACTCATTTTTATGATTTTAGACTTTATCCAAACAGATACATAGTGGAAATAGTCCTTCAATTCTGATCTTCCAACATTTTGTACTTTGTTACTTTGTCACATTTTCTTTATGCTACTGAAATGCATCTTAACTACTTATTAACCCCATTAATTTCACATTCACAGTTCTTTGTTCTCTGAATCTAACTTGGTAACCAAAGCTTTCATATTCCCTGTTCTTAATCCAAAGCATAGCCCTACTATTTCTTGAATTTAATTTCTTTTTTGCCCTAATTTCCTTCCCTTATTCAGTTAAATCCACCTATAATGCTTTGTTTCTCTGTCTCCCTCTTTTTGTCTTCTTCTTCCTGTGTGAATTGTGCCTTTCTTTTAAGATGTAGTTCAAGTATTACCTTTTCCATGGTGCTCTTCCTGAACTCCATTAGTGATGACATCATTTTTTTTACCACCTCAGTGTTTTCCTTCATATGAGAGTGGGAGTCATGTATGTGGTATGGTGTAGTGACAGTATTTTGAAATGAGTGAATAAATGAACTTGACAATAAGTGACTTTTTTAGGAGCTAAAATTTCTTATTGAATATTAACAAATTTTGATGTAGACATACAATGATTATGGCCAAGAATCAAAGCTCCCTCACATCCTTTTGTGCTTTCTTTTCCATTGAGGTTCTGACTCAGCAGTTCTGAGTCAGCAGATTTGCTGCACTGTATCACTTTCATCTTCCATAGCAAAGGATATCTTGGTGCTAACTGCTGATGCAGTATGACCATGACCTAATTTGGCCTTTCAGCAAACAAGTCCTTTCTGATTGCTATATAGTGAGAAGAGGGCTATGTGGAAAAAGAGATGCTATTTTCTATTCAAGGCAGATGATTTGACTTAGACAACTATGACAACTGGCTTTGCTCGTGTTCTGTTGGCATCTTGAAAGAACATTTGAACCATATTTCAGATGCCATTGTGTTCCTACCTCCAGATGCCACATTTAGATATCTGATTCAGTATTTTTAGGATTAGACCCAAAAATCTGTGCTTTTAAATATCTCCCATGACAAACTTTAATGATCAGTTAGGTTTGGAATCTCCTGGCATAGAACGATTAGAAGTTCAGATATGAGAGTTAGACCAACTTCACCTCTGACATTACTAGTAGTGTAACCTTGGGAAAGTTACTTAGTGTCTTTGAGCTTTAGTATGATTATCCAAATGTGGACAATAATAGTACCTACTTTAAAAGATTATTATGAGGATTAAATGAGATAATCCATCTCAGGTGCTAGCAGTGTTTGACATTAAGCATTCAGTAAAATGTAACTATTATTTTTGTCGTTATTTACAAGAGATATTTGTGTTGTTTTATGTAAAATATACAAAACAATCTTCCATTTCTAAAAAAAATCATGAAATAGATGTGTATATGTTTGTTGGTTTTCTCTTAATGGAGTTCATGATTTGCCTCAAGGATTTGATTAAAAGTCTGTGTGAGATTATTTTGACTGCAGTTCTTTGTAATTTAGAGATTAGTCACCTTATATTTCTTTTTTAATTACAAGGAATAGACTATTACAAATGCTTAATAGGAAAATTTTAAGAACCAAATGTTCTAAGGCAGCATTTCTAAAACAAGTAATGGTTAAAATTTTATAATTTGTGGGCAGGAGGCAGGGATATGAGTAAAAAAACTACAAAGAGAGCCACCTATTTCAAGTTGCTTTCTCATAAAATTAATTCCTCTTCTGATTAAACATCATAGAGTGGAACAGTGGCACTCTGAGCTAAAATTTGATTTGGTGGTGCCACTTAAAAATAAACCTGAGTTTTACTTTATGTGTGCATATATATGCACATTACTATGTGTGTTTTATATATTCATGGGGGAACATCCAGAACCCTTACAGCAGGAAGAGGGTGGTTGGGGTAGGGAAAATCATGTAACTGAAAGGTTTTAGAGGGCTAGAGATAAATAGCTCTGTTATAGAACACTTGCCTAGTGTACACAAAGGTTATGAGTTCATTCTCAGTACTGCAAAAACAAACAATAAAAAGAAAAAGTTTTAGAGCTACTGAGATATACCATAATTATTTGTTATACCCTTCTCCCCAATGATAACAGAATAGTGAAATGTCAAATTTTGGAGCAGAATTATTCATGGCAGGGGCAAGATTTCTGTTAGGTGAGCACAAATTCTAGGGCAGCCAGACATGGTGATACACATCTGACAGAAGGATGGCAAGTTTTGGCAAGTTTGAGTACAGCTTGGACAAGTTAGTGACCTAGCAAGTCTTTGTCTCAAAGCAAGTGGAGATGTAGCTTAGTTCCACCACCAAAAAAGGCAAAAGCAAAAACAAAAAACACCAAAGTAACCACCAAGCATCTTCTTTATATAATGAAGTAGTAATATGGCTAATACTAGAGTGTTAAAAAAGAATTTATATACTTTATATCCATATGTCATGACTTTCCTCTGTAGAGATTGAAAAATCCATTACACTGCAAATTTTCATTAACTGTTACTAACTTACGATAAGTTCTAGTTCATTTAGATGTCTGAAGCATATATTTTTATTTCATTTGCATTCAACTGAATTCTCAGATTGCCTGGAGAGTAGATGATGAGACTCTTCCTATACAGTGCCTTTCCTGTTCTTACTAGAGCAAACTGTTCACACTCTGAGCTCATTTATCATTGTCAACAAAGGCTGTCATCATCTAAACACGCTGAGTGAGAAATTTCATTTCTTTGGGCAAGAAGCATATTATGGGCTATACTTTTAATTAAGAATCAGGCTGATTACTTGATAGTTGAATGCTTTAGTTTCAGGTCAGTTTACCCTCATTTCTCTTTCAAATGTTAGGTATTCTTAGCTATCCAGAACCTATGGAATTCTTAATAGGGTTGATTTATATATAATTTCTACTCTTTCACTCATATGAACTTACATCTAGTCTAAAAACCTGTGTGAGTTTCAAAGGCTTAAAAAGGATTAAAAGGCTCTAAAAATTTAAATACTTCATCCAGTGAGTATGTTTACCTAAATGTGTCATCAAGCTTCTCAGTTTTCTGGTTAGAAAACCAGTTTGGGACAGACTGACTCATGCTATGGACTGATAGAATGCAAACACATTCAGAATTCTCTTGGCAAGATTAATGCAATAAAAACAGGGTTCTGTGAGCTTTTAGAGATGAAGTATTTCATTTCTCAAATAAGTCTTCCTATCATTATGAGCTTTCAAGGTAAACACACACATGTCTTTGGTTTGGCACTGAGTAAAGTGGCAAGTATACATTACTACAGTATCGTCAGTACTCCTTGCCACTTTTTGAGGAATTTAAGGTAATCTGGGAAGAATTACTAATCAACCCTTACAGTGATAGTAAAAGTAAAAGTCTCTGATTCTAAATATTATCTTCATATGCAAGTAAATATTTTACTGGGTTTATGATTCACTTTTTGGGGTACAGGTCTCAAATGCTTTGCCCTAACAGTTACCTTCATTGTTCTCCAGTGATCTCATGCAAGGAAATAGATAACATAACTGTTTATGCCCCTTTTGTAGATAGAAGCATCAAACAATGCATGTTAGTTTTTTCTCCATGTTGCCCAACAAATTTGGAGCCAAATTTAAAAGATGGCCAGTGACAGTGACATTCTGTTAGTAAGGTTAGCTGAGTAGCTCTTTTCAGGGATGAAGAGATGGAGATTGGAATGTCTTCTGGTAAAGCTTAGAGCACAATTAAAATGCTCATTTTCTACTTGGTTATATATGTATCACTTGCTTTTGTTCACAATGGTTCTATTAGCCGATTTTAGCCTAGGCAAAAGGAGTTAGGTAGCATATTATACATTTATACCTCCATTTCTGAAATTTAGGATAAAATGAAATTTTTCTATTTACGTTAGCAAATGGAGACATATTTCCACAATCCTATATTGTTATAAAATAAATTTATCAGGCAGTTATATAGTAATGGGTTTCATGAAATTTATTTCTCAAGAGCTTTGATCTCTTTATTTTATTAGTTGTCTGATTGTTCTCAGTGTTATTATTGCTAAGGTCTCTCCAAATATGACTTTAGACACACCTAACACAATCTTTTCTACATATTGTGGGTTCTCTAATAGCATACCAGTAACAGGTTGAGGTTTTTCTGCATGACATGGAGTCAGTGCAAATGGGAAGCCAAGGGTATTGCATACAATCTAATGTACTCATTTTCAACAGAAATTTAATTCTATGACCATATCTTATTTTCATTTCTTTTCTTTGTGCCAGTGGGTACAATTCTCTACTTGCTAAGAGTCTATTCAGACTTCAAGCTAATTGTTGCCTACTAGAAGCCTTCTTTTCCCTTTATACAAAATGAATGCACCACTTTAAGGTCCCTGAGCACTCTTGTATATATCCCTGTTATAGCTCACATCTAATTACTCGGTACTACTTACATTTCTTTTCTTTTCTTTTTTTTTTTTTTTTTTGCGGTGCGGGGATTGAACTCACAACCTTGTGCTTGCCAGACAGGCACTTATGCCACTGAGCTAAATCTCCAGCCCTACTACTTACATTTCTTACCAGACCTTTAAAATTGGAGTCTATGTCATACATAGTGTTAAGTAACATGAATGTGGAATGAATGAATGGATAATAAATGTCTTTATTTTCTTTCCCTTTAATATAGAACCAAAAAGCTTTTTCTCTTTTTGTAACCCAATAAATAATAAACTGCCTTTGATCATTTCCTTTTGGGTAAATATCCTCATTTACTATGTCTAAGTCCCTCTCCATGTTAGTTCAGTTTGCATTCCTGGTACAAAAAACCTGAGGTAACCAACTCAAAAACAGGAGAGGTTTATTTTGGAAGGTTTCAGTCCATGGTGGATTGGGCCTTGCTTCTGAGCCTTTGGTGAGGCAGTAGTGCATCATAGTGGGAACTTGTGGCAGGTAAAGCCAGTTCACCTCAGGCCCAGAACAAAGGAGAAAGGGGTTGGAGCTCCTGGACCTCCTTTAAGGGCCCATCTGCATTTACCCAACTTCCTTCCACTAGCCCCACCTTGTAAAGACTCCACTACATCCTAGTAGTGCCACAGGCTGGAGGCCAAACCCATTAACACATTGGCTTTTGGGGGACATTCCAAATCCAAACTACAGCAGTATCGTTTCATTCTTGATGGCATTACCAGTCCTTCCTTGTAATGTTTTCGGAAACATTATGCTTGAAACAGACCTTGAAAACATTATGCTGAGTGAAATATATACGATTACCTATTGTGTGATTCCATGTCTATTGAAATGCACAGAATAGGCAAATCCATAGATGCAGAAGGGAAATTAATGGTTTCTGGAGCTGGGAAGTTACTGCATAACAAACACAGCATTTGTTTTTTTTTAATTGACAGGTAGTATTTTGCTGCATGGATATACCACGATTTTTTATGCAGTTTTATTTATGAAAACTGAAACATATATATTGTTTACATTTCTTGATTATTACAAATAATACTGCAGTAAACATGTGTGTATAAGACTTGTTTGGATATATTCTCATTTTTCTTGAGTATGTACCTGTTAGTGGAATATCTGAGTCATATGGGCTCAATAGAAAAAGCTAACTCAAACTCGAACTCATATTCTCCTACCACATACACAACACAGGTCATTTCTGTAATCCCAAAATGTGAGAGGATTTTTTTCCACTAATAAGCAAGCAGCTCTGTAGAAGCAAACACAAACTGGACATTCCATAATTCAGTGCTGATGCAACGGGTTGAGGGCTCAGTTGCCAGGATTACTCTTATCAGGTTGTTTTGCCTGTGCTTCTGATCAGTCAGCTATGAATCAGCATTCCTACAATTCCTTCCTTCTGTTCAGTCAGTTTGCACAAGTAACTCAGTGCACAGGGAACTTCATGCCCTCTATGAGTGCAGCAACCTCCAGGGTCCTTCACAGTTCAGCGATCCAGAAACTCTTAGTATCCAGCATTTTTGAGTTTTTTGGAGATGTCATTGTGTAAGTGTGACTGAAGCAGGACAATTGTGGGAATGTGATTGGACAAAAGGGTGTAATCTACTACTATTAACAAACAGATTGAGTGAGAAACCCAGTAAAGCCTGCTTGTTCACATTATTCTTGCCCTTTCTGTAGAGCATTCCTTACTCCAGGGTATGGGGCAGGTTGCATTCTGAAACAAGGATCTTATGATCTATCATCAGACAAGATCAAAGAATTTGTTTATTTCTAATTCTGAGACAGAAAGGCAAGAGATGAAAGATTTGTAACCCATTTTGAGGAAAAGAAATTCTAGTTTCTGTCATTTGCCCTGGAAAGGGAGTTATGAGGAAGAAGCTATGGGTAAAAGCCAAAAAATATATCACATACGGGAATAATAGATCATTGAATATTTGTGGGCCTCTTGTGTATTCATATATTGAAATTCTAACATCATGTAATGAAATTGGGAGATAGGGCCTTTAGGGGGTAATTAGGTCATTAGGATGAAGCATTCATAAGTGGGATTAATGCCTTTATAAGAGCTTATTCGTTAGTGAGAATAATGCCTTTATAAGAACTTTCCAGTCCTCTTTTCTCCATGTAGAGATACCAGAAGAAAACAGCTATCTGCAACCCAGAAGGGGCCCTAATCATAACCTGACCATGTAGAAGAACCCTGCTTCCAGACGTACAGCCTGCAGAAATGTATTTCTGTTGTTTTAAAGCTACTTTGGTATTTTGTTCTATCTCTAGTATTTGTTGTATCAGCGGAAACTGTTAAGGTAGCACCTCTATATTTAAGTGAGGGAGAGCCAGACTTAGCTGCTCGCTTTATACTCCCACTTTGCATTTCAGGCATTCAGCTTCTACATAGCCCTTTTTTTTTTTTTTTTTTTTTTTTTTTCGTCTTTTTCCTTTTTATCGGTACAGGGGATCGAACTCACAACCGCCTGCTTGCAAGGCAGGTGCTTATGCCGCTGAGCTAAACCTCCGGCCCCACAGCTTCTATATATCCTTTAAATGCTTTGTTATTACCTGGGGCTATTAAATATTATTATTATTATTATTACTAAGTCTTCCTAATGTATGGGAATTGGTACTTGTGGTTTTGATTTGCATTTTCCTGATGACTTAAATAATATTGAGCACTTTTATGTATTTTTTGGTCATTTGTGTGCCTACTTTGGAGAACTTTTCAGATCTCCCACTGATCTTTTTATTTGGCTTCCTTAATAACCTTTTCTCTTATTGGTTTGTCAGAGAACTTTACAGATGCTGCATTCAAGTTCTTTATTAGGTAGATTATTTGCAAATATTTTCTCTCATTCTGTGCATATTATCTTTTCATTTTCTGGTTGGTATTTTTTGGTTTTTCATTTGTTAAGCAGGGTCTTGCTATGTAATTCAGGCTCTGGAACTTTCAATTATCCTGCCTCAGTCTCATGAATGCTGGGATTATAGGCCTGCACCACCACATTGGCTCTCTTGATGTTGTCCTTTAAAGCGCAAAATTTTTACGTTTTAATGGTGCTCAGTTTGTTTATTTTTTTCTTTTATTGCTTGTGATTAAGAAACCACTGTCTAATCAAGACCATGAAGAATTGTACCCATGTTTTCTTCTGAGTTTTATAGTTTAAGTCTTACATTTAGGTCTTTGATTTACTTTCAGTTAATTTTTAATGTGGCATGTGGTAAAGATTTATTATATGTAGATCTCCATTTATTCTAGCAATATTTGTTGAAGAAAATCATCTTTCTGCCCACCCACTGAACCTGACAAACAATGTTACCCTTCAGCGTGAAGGTTTATTTCACGATTTTTAATTCTACTCAATTAAACTATTTTCCTATCTTTTTGCCAGAATTATAGTGCCTTGATTATGATAGCTTTACTAAAGTAAGTTTTGAAACTTCATCATATGAGTTATCCAATTATTTTTTTAAAGACTATCTTGGCTAGTCTAAGTCTTATGAATGTCCACATACACTATAATTAGCAGATCAGTTTCTTTAAAGAAGTCAGCTGGGATTGTGATAAGGTTTACATTTAGTCTATAGATCAGTTTGGGCAATATTGCCATTTAAACAGTATTGAGTCTTCTAATCCAAGAGTATAAGAATTTCTTGCTACTACTTAATGTTTTCAACATTCTTTTGTACTATTCCAAGTATTATTTTACTTGGACTTATTTACTTATTTTATGTACATAATTTTACGTACATAATATTTTATGTATTTTATTAAGATTATGTACTTATTTTAATGTGCTTCTTTTATTTTTGATACTATTAAAAATGAAATTGTGTTCCTTTTTGCTTTATTTATTGCTATTGTATAGAAATGTAGAAGCTCATTGTAGTGGCTCACAGCTGTAATTCCAGCACTTGGGAGACTGAAGCAGGAAGATCCTTGGGAGTTCAAGACCAGCCTGGGCTGCAAAGTGAGCTCAAGGCCAATCTGAACTGCATAGTGAGATCCTATCTCAAAAAGATTTAAAAAAAAAAAAAAAAGGAAAGAAAGAAAGGAATGTAAGTATCATCACCATTATCATTATTAGTTTAACTTCCTGAAGTAAACATATAGGATTGCTCATAATCCCAAAAAGGCAAAGCATTTGCTTTATTTCATTTTGTAACATTGTATGTTGGTTGTTTTATCTGTGCCTAAATTAAAAATTTTATTTTAACTTTTTTATAAACATATAAACATATCACTGTACTAATTTTATAAGAGAAACTTAAACTATATTAGCATATGTTAAAACGAGTGTGTTGAAATTTATAATTTAACCAGGCATGGTGGCATGTGCCTGTAATTTCAGCACTCAGGAGGCTGAAGCAGGAGGATCCCTGTGAATTTGAAGCCAGTCTGAGCTATATGGAGTTAAAGACCAGCCTGAATTATATAATGAGACCCTGTCTCAAGAAAAGAAAAAGGAGAAGGGGAGTAGGAGGAGGAGGAAAAAAAGAAAAGGGAGGAATGAGGAAGAGGAATGAGGAAAAGAAATTTATAATTTATTACAAAACTTAAGGAAAGAAAAATTATTGTATCATTTTTTCTGAAAGAAGAGTGTTTATAGATGGCAATGACTTGTGGGCTCATAATAACTTTTGCCTCTGTTTTGTTGTTGTTGTTGTTGTTGTTGTTGTTTGGGTTTTTTTCCCCAATTACTCAGAAAATACCTAGGGACAATATGAAGTTGATAAATCATGTTGTGAACCTATTCATATCATTGGCAGTGCCCTGTCCAAATAAACAACACCCCTGTGTTTGTATTTGGGAGGGCTGAAAGAAAGTGCGCTGGCCCTGCTGCCTATGGTTCTTTCGAGATCATTTTGTTCACTTTGTCAGGTGACTGCCACAAATAAATACAGATTTCATTTGAACTATAAGAATTGCTGCTCTTGTATTAAATCCTTGTTTCTGTTGCTTTCATGACCCAGTTTTGCTAGATCTGAAGATTCCTGAGAAAAGTGCTAAGAAGCACAATGGTAGAATTTTGGGATCTGATTCTTGGGTTCTCTCCTAGTCCTGCTCCCTAATTCCTATTAGTAAGTGCATACCTATTAATGCTTCTATAATACCTACAAGGTCCTGAATACAGACTTGTATTACCATTAGTTTTAGTTTCTCTTTATATTATATATCAATTATATATTATAAAATACATATCATATATCAATTATATATTATATATCAATTATATATGATAATTTTATATATATATATATATATCAATATACTTGATACACACACAGAGGCAGAAAGTCAGTCTGGGTATGTAGTTCAAGATAACCTTGAACTATATAGCCCAGGCTGACCTTGAACTTGCAGCTGTTTTCCTGTCTCAGCCTCCTAAATGCTGGAATTTCAGGCATGCATCATAATGCCTGGCTCTTTTTCTTTTTAGTTTTTTGAGACAGAATCTCACTGGGTAGTCCTGACTGGGCTTGAATTCATGGCAATTGTCCTGCCACAGCCTCCCTCCTGAGTGCTGGGATTATAGGAGTATATTATCATGCCTGGCTAGTTCCTCATTATTAAAAAAATTCGCAAATATAATAATAAAGTTACCAGCAGCTAACTTGTATGAAGCCAAATTGAAAGTAAGAGGCATCTGTAGTCATTAATAGCCAATTCACTGAACAATGTTTCATAGTGGGGAAAGGATAATGTATAAAGGCCAGACAGTGGTTTGACTACAATTGAGTCTATACAGTGGAGTAATACACACCCATTAAAAAAAAACAAAAGAATAAGAAGATACAATATAACCCTCTCCAAGAATTGCTGATTGTGTATACAGTTTTCTAGAAAAATATAGAAAGACACTGTTAATGTTACTTACCTTTGGAAAATAATAAATAAGAAACTTTAAATTTATTTTTTACTTTTTGGTCATGTAAATTTTCTATTTTATGCATTAGAATTTACTGTTTGTTTACTTATTTCAAATACTTATAAAAATACAGAGATAATAATGAACCCCCATGTGTCCATCATGTAACTCCAGTAATCACTGACTCTTGGCCAGTCTTGTTTCCCACACTCCAGAGTATTTTGAAGCAAATCCAGAAGATTTTCAGAATGAGGTTTTATGTGACTTGCTTTTTTCAGTTTTTATTAAGGCATGCTTCAGAATTTGTCACAGATGAAATTGAGAAGTAATTGTTTCCCTTTTAATATTTTTGTTATTCTTTGCCTCGTACTTTGCTTACTAATAGAAATCTCAGCCCTCAGAGGAGTAAGAAGCCACAGATATTATGCAAAAGGGCCACTGGAGTTTTCCATCTGTAGCTCCAGGAGTAACCAGTGACAACACCATTCAGTGTAATCTGAATGCTCTCCTAGTGGGTTAATTCTCCATCCCCTTTCAAAGCCACAGGGGTAAATGCTGTCGTTACAATTATGCTGTTATGCTTATAGAGCTACTTGACTATTCTTTTTTGTTGTTGGTATTTGTTTGTTTGAGACAGGGTCTTGCTATGCAGCCTAGGCTGGTCTTCAATTTACTAAGTAATCCAGGATAGCCTCAAACTGTGGCAATCCTCATGCCTCAGCCTTCTAAATGCTGGGATTACAGGCATGCACCACCACACCTGGCTTCAACATGATTATTCTTGAGGCGATTACTAGCTGATGTTTTGATTAATCAATAAATCTATTTAGAGTAAGAAATAATTTGATGTAAAGTAAATAATGATATGTACCCCACAGGAGCATGTTCTTTCTTTTTTAGTGCCAGTTATATTTGGTCCCCAGTATAGGCACTATTATTCAGTTTTGAGGTCTCTCTGATAATTTGGATGTGTTTATTACCAGATAATGTTGACAGGCCCTTGTAATTCTTCTTCATATTTTCCCTTTACTTGAGTATATTTCAGTGTTATGGTATAAAATACCTTGCATATCATATTTACTCAGAATAAACAATGCAAGATATAAACTATGAGTTAGCAATTACATATTTTTAAGAAAAGAGTACAAAAATACATATTCTGCCTCATTCTGCTAGTGTGCTTTTCCTAAAGCGTCATTTGGAAATACGTTGCCTGTTTGTCGAGCATCTCAAATATTTCAGGCTATTCTTGAGAAATTCTTCCAAGTGTATGTCCACAAAACATAGGGAAGAAAAATGGAGAAGTGAGAAGAAATTGAGTTACGTAGGATAAATAAGTATAGAGTTCTCACATACTGTAAATCAACTCATTATAGAGGGAATTTAGCAAAAGGAGCCTTAGACACCATAATGATAACAAATCAGCCTTGTCAGGACTCTGTGAAGCCAGTACTAAGTGCTGTAAACTGTTGCCAAGTATATCAGGTGGTGCAAAAGATGAGGCGGGATCCTGGATTTGGCCTGTAAGGTATAGTGTGGTATATTTGGTCAGAGGAGGTTTCAGGCCTTTCTGAGAAAGCAACAGAGGTAGTAATATGAAAGCTCATTGATACTAAGCTCATAAAAATATGAAAACTGAATTTGAAAGAAAAAGAAATACATTGAAATCATTAACAAGCTTAAAATAGTTTCTCAAGAAAACGTTATAGTCATCAATGTTTTAAATGATACATTGGTTACTTTGTCAGGCTTGTTTGTTTGTTCCCAGAAGCAGCTTCTCAAAACTCAAAGCTTAAGGCCTAACATGGTGGCCCACATCTGTAATCTCAGCTATCTAGGGACTGAGGCAGGAGGATTGCAAGTTTGAGGCCAGCCTGGGCAACTTAATGAGACCTTGTCTCAAAATCTAAATTTCAAAAGGGTTGCTAGGCAAGGTGGCACACACCTGTAATCCCAGTACTCGGGAGGCTGAGGCAAGAGGATCACCACAAGTTGGAGGCCAGGCTTAGTTACAAAGTAAGTTGAAGGTCAGCCTAAATTGCATAGTGAGACCCTGTATCAAAATGAATACATACATACTTACATACATACATACATACATACATACATACATATATACATATGTGTTTTTGTGCCTAGAATGCGGAGGCCCTGGGCTCCATCTCTAATACCTCAAACAAAATAAAACATTACAACAGCATGCCAAAGCCCAAGTCAAAGGGAAAGTCTGATTTCATATTGCTAATATGCTACACGCTTTTTAACATCATGTTCAAAATAAGATCTAATTCAAGAGTAGTTCAAGATAAAGTTACGAAGTGTTCAGGAGGTGCTCTTTTTCATTGCTAGTAAAAGTATGAATACACAAGTTTATAAAATATATAGTAGATGTTTAAGTTTTTAAAAATGATTACAGTAACAGACATTCACATTAATTCCTCTCAGAATCTTCACCTCGCTTTGAACACATTTATCTCATTTTTCTTGCCACTTTATGAAGTAGCTCTGGAAGTCTTTTTTCATGATTGTCTTTATACAGTGCAATTAAAAATACAGTGTATGCTGCTGCTGAGTGCCATTCAGTGGAAATGCAGGCTTGTCAAAACATTATAATGTTTCCTCATCAACCTTATTCTCTGTATCTGATCCCATGTAACTTCTGATTCTTCCCTGTTTATCCATGGTATTCTTTGGCTCTGATACCATGTAACCTATTCCCCCAAATCAAAGTGAACATGAAAAGTGGACATTTTAAATTGATTCAGGAAACAGAGACGACCACAATAGCACAACTATAAAGACATTTATGAAAGAGGACTTCCAAAACTACTTCAGAAAATAGCAAGAATGATGGAATAAGTGTGTTTGGATTGAAGAAAAGTATTTTGAGGGAAATTAATGGCAATGATAGAATAAACACCTGACTTCTCCCTGAATTATCCACAGATTATTTTATGAGGTCCTGGTCTTTTCAACTGTATTATATAGTTGTATCTTATATTCTTCTGGACTTCCCACAATACCAACCTTAAGTGAATTACCATTGATTAAGTAGTAATGGTAATTCTAGGGAAGATGCCATTAAATAAACTTTCAGAAAATTTGAATTCTAGTCTGAATTTGAATCTATTTATCAGCAAGATTTTTGGATTTCTTAACCTGGACTTAATAGTTTCCTTTTCTAAGTTG